ATTGAATCAATCATTAAATGATTAAATCGATCATTAAATAAATATTTCCTCCAAAGTAAAAAAAAAACAAACATTGTTATGACAATTAAGATGTTAGTCCCCAAATCAAGTATGATTGAATCAAATAACAAAAACTGCATGTCCATTTCAAACAACTACAATTCTCCTAAATAGAAAGTATATTTTGTCAATTGTATGAAAGAATTGAAATAAATATAGAAAAGACTGTCTTCATACTTATATAGCAAAGCAAATCTTGTGGGCTTTTCAGCATTTCAAAAATGGATGTTACATGATCATGGTTGCTGTAAGATCATTATTTACTCTCATTATACAAGAAAATGACCCAACAACATTTATTTTAAGAAACTTTACAACTTTTGAATAGCTAGATATTGCAAACTAAACTCAAATATACTTTGATAGTTCCATACAAGTTTCTTAATAAAAACTGTTCCAGTAAATAAATGATAGTTGAAAACTTGAAAATAGAAATGTTTGAATATTGTCAATAATATATTTATACCTTTTATAAATATACAACTGTTGTTATTTGAACCTTTGTTAAAAGAAATCTACAATACAACTGTTTCTAATCAGCTTTAGTATAAAGAAGACATACCTAAAATGAAAAGAGAAATTGATTTTCTTCTTCATTAAAAATGTGCTACAAATTCATTTCCTCTTCTTCTATCTCCTTGTACGTTTTTTCAATAAAAGATAAATAGAAGTCCAAATGCTTCAGTTTCAATATCTATAGTTTGTTTATAACTAAATGAAGATTGTTGTATGTTATTGCAGTACATGTTCAGGTCCAAATGCTTTTGCTTTAATTTCTATCGCTCGTTCATAAAAATCTTTTGCTATTTCGTACTCTCCCATTTCACTGTAAACCAAAACCAGATTAATGCACGTTTTCACAAAATTAACATGGTAAGGTCCAAATGCTTTTGTTTTACTTTTCATCGCTCGTTCATAAAAATCTCTTCCTTTTTCGTACTCTCCCATTTTATAGTAAACCAAACTCAGATTGCTGTACGTTGTCACAATATTAACATGTTCGGGTCCTAATGCTTTTGTTTTAATTTTCATCGCTCGTTCATAAAAATCTTTTGCTTTTTTGTACTCTCCCACTTTGTAGTAAACCAAACCCAGATTGTTGTACGTTGTCGCAATATTAACATGTTCAGGTCCAAATGCTTTTCTTTGAATTTTCATCGCTCGTTCATAAAAATCTTTTGCTTTTTTGTACTCTCCCATTTTACTGTAAACCAAACCCAGATAGCTGTACGTTGTCGCAATATTAACATGTTCAGGTCCAAATGCTTTTGTTTGAATTTTTATCGCTCGTTCATAAAAATCTTTTGCTTTTTTGTACTCTCCCATTTTATGGTAAACCAAACCCAGATTGCTGTACGTTGTCGCAATATTAACATGTTCAGGTCCAAATGCTTTTGTTTGAATTTTTATCGCTCGTTCATAAAAATCTTTTGCTTTTTTGCACTCTCCCATTTTACTGTAAACCAAACCCAGATTGCTGTACGTTGTCGAAATATTAACATGTTCAGGTCCAAATGCTTTTGTTTTAATTTTCATCGCTCGTTCAAAAAAATCTTTTACTTTTTCGTACTCTCCCATTTGACAGTAAACCAAACCCAGATTGCTGTACGTTGTCGCAATATTAACATGTTCAGGTCCAAATGCTTTTGTTTGAATTTTCATCGCTCTTTCAAAAAAATCTTTTGCTTTTTCGTACTCTCCCATTTTACCGTAAACCAAACCCAGATTGCTGTACGTTGCCGCAATATTAACATGTTCAGGTCCAAATGCTTTTGTTTCAATTTTCATCGCTCGTTCTAAAAATCTTTTGCTTTTTCGTACTCTCCCATTTTACAGTAAACCAAACCCAGATTGCTGTACGTTGTCGCAATATTAACATGTTCAGATCCAAATGCTTTTGTTTCAATTTTCATCGCTCGTTCAAAAAAATCTTTTTCTTTTTCGTACTCTCCTATTTCACTGTAAACCAAACCCAGATTCCTGTACGTTGTCGCAATATTAACATGTTCAGGTCCAAATGCTTTTGTTTGAATTTTCATCGCTCGTTCAATAAAAGCTTTTGCTTTTTCGTACTCTCCCATTTTTCTGTAAACGAAACCTAGATTGATGTACGTTGACGCAATATTAACATGTTCAGGTCCAAATGCTTTTGTTTCAATTTTCATCGCTCGTTCAAAAAAATCTTTTGCTTTTTCGTACTCTCCCATATCTTCGTAAACGGAACCCAGATTGCTGTACGTTCTCGCAATATTAACATGGTCAGGTCTAAATGCTTTCGTTACAATTTTCATCGCTTGTTCAATAAAATCTTTTGCTTTTTCGTACTCTCCCATTTTTCTGTAAACGAAACCTAGATTGATGTACGTTGACGCAATATTAACATGTTCAGGTCCAAATGCTTTTGTTTCAATTTTCATCGCTCGTTCCAAAAAATCTTTTGCTTTTTCGTACTCTCCCATTTTTCTGTAAGCTCTACCCAGACTGTCGTACGTTCTCGCTATATTAACATGGTCAGGTCCAAATGTTTTTGCTTGAATTTCCATCGCTCGTTCATAAAAATGTTTTGCTTTTTTGTCCTCTCCCATATTATCGTAAACCGAACCCAGATTGTAGTACGTTGACGCAATATTAACATGGTCAGGTCCAAATGTTTTTGTTTTAATTTCTATCGCACGTTCATAAAAATCTTTTGCTTTTTCGTACTCTCCCATATTATCGTAAACCGAACCCAGATTATTGTACGCTGACGTATTATTAACATGGTTAGGTCCAAATGTTTTCGTTTCAATTTCTATCGCTCGTTCATAGAAATCCTTTGCTTTTTCGTACTCTCCCATTTTGTTGTAAACTGAACCCAGATAACTGTACGTTGTCGCAATATTAACATGGTCAGGTCGAATGGTGTTTGTTTGAATTTTCATCGCTCGTTCATGAAAATTTTTTGCTTTTTCGTACTCTCCCATATTTTCGTAAACCCAACCCAGATTGTTGTATGTTGTTGCAATATTAACATGGTCAGGTCCAAATGTTTTTGTTTTAATTTTTATCGCTCGTTCATACAAATCTTTTGCTTTTTCGTACTCTCCCATTTTACTGTAAACCAAACCCAGATTGCTGTACGTTGTCGCAATAATAACATGGTCAGGTCCAAATGCTTTCGTTTGAATTTTCATCGATCGTTCTAAAAAATCTTTTGCTTTTTCGTACTCTCCCATATTTATGTAAACCGAACCCAGATTGCTGCACGTTGTCGCAATATTAACACGGTCAGGTCCAAATGTTTTTGTTTCAATTTCTATCGCTCGTTCACAAAAATCTTTTGCTTTTTCGTACTCTCCCATTTCACAGTAAACCGAACCCAGATTGTTGTACGTTGCCGCAATATTAACATTGTCAGGTCCAAATGCTTTCGTTTGAATTTCTATCGCTCGTTCACAAAAATCTTTTGCTTTTTCGAACTCTCCATTATTCAAAAGCAAGACACCCAGCTCTTTGTACGAATATGAAACATCAATATGATCAACACCTAACACTTTAGTTTGAATTTCTGTTATTTCATAAAGTACTTTAGTTGCAACTTTGTAGTTGTAAAATCTTTCCAAAACATCTACAAAATATTTGGCAACTTTCCAATTTCTTTCATCAAGTTTTTGTTTTGATGATTTTACATCGATCAACTTATTTAGGAAATGTTGAAATGATGAATTTGTTATGAATTTAATTAGATGCGGAATTATTTTGATTTCATCTTGTCTGTCTTCAAATTGATTTAGTGCCCAAGCAACTTGACAGGCAAGATCAGCTGCAGACTTTTTAGAATTATTTTTGTTTTGTTTACAGCCAAAGGTCTGCGATGAATATTTTATGATGGCGTCGTGTACAACGCTGTGCAGGCGGATGTCGTTATTTTCCGTTTGAAGGAATAAAGAACAATGCTTTAATTGAAGACAGACATCTTCTGCAGATATTTGTGGATCAATGCTTTTAATAAATTGTATTATAACATTTTGTGGTAAGGGATCGAAAGATATTATTGAGAAAAGTTTAAAAACATGTTCCAAGAAAATGGATTCTTCGGCATTTTTTTGAACTGCTAACATAACAGTTTTCATTCCTAAGTAAGATGTGTTTATTTTTTGAAAATAGCCATCCATGTTTTGTCGCTCTCCTTCATTCAACTTATGAAAATATTGCTCCCACGTGAATGTCGGATTTACACTTTTTACACTACCTACGTAGTAAGCAGAATTTGCCAGGAACAACGGTTGACGATCTAATTTGTCTGATACATCCATTAAAAATTTTTCATCTTTATTCTGAATATTAGAAAAGACAGATAGAAGTTGTCGACATTCTTCATTGTTCATACCATGACTAACTGAAATGTGTTTATGTCGATTTCCATCTGGTGGTATAGCATCTGTATTTTGGACAGTTACTATAATTTGACCATTTTTCCAACTATGATCACCAACTTGAGGTAATAATGGATAAATTTTATGAAGTTCAACCACGTTATCTACAACAATCCACCATGCTTGCCAAGATTTCAGTTGTTGTGTCAGCAATAATTGAAAATCTTTAATTTTGTCTTCGCTGCTTTTTGTTTCTTTTAGAATATTTTCAATGACAGGCATATCATTGTTTAATCGTTGACAAACTTCAGCATAAGTTTTCAAAAGAGAGTCGATATCTTTTCCGTCGAGTGTCATCACAAATGCTGTTTTATTTTCCCAGTCAAACGAGTTATACATTTCTTCACAAATTTGTCTAGCTAATTGAGATTTACCACTGCCAGGATTACCAGAAATATAGTAATATGTTAGATCATTTTTATTAGTACTACGCAAGTTATTGAGATCTGCTGTGATTTGATTAAGTAACTCTGTACGTTTAACAACATGGTGATTTGGTTCGCAAGGAAGTACTTGAAAAGAATAAAATATGTTTCGTTGACATTTAATTTCATTAATTTCAGTGAATGAAAATGCTAGATCTTTAAATGACTGCTCAATATCACAAAGCAATTTGTCAAATTCAGTATCAAATTTTTTTCCTGGATTTACATGGGTGAAATCGTTTCTTACATCACGAAGTTTTTCCACAGCAGCTTTAACTTTATCATTAATGTTTGTTCCAATTGAGTGGGTAAACAATATTGCTTTACATATTGTCGTGCAATCCCACTTACTTGTGTCACCATCTTTAAGTTTTAACAACATTTTTTCATCACGAAATCTTTTTTTTGTTTTTTCAATGTTGAACAACTTCTGACCACTGACGTTTGTATTTTCCCATTCTCCGTGCGATGTTTTGTAATTAATGTTCCACTCTTGGATAAATAAATCAACAAGTTTCTTCGTAACAACTTCTGAAAGTATTTTCTGAATGTAGCAGTTATTCCATTCTTCTCTTGACTGCATCTAAGGGTCGTAAAATTATTAATATCAACAGATATTGGTTCTCTAATTAGAGTTTATGGATAATTAAAATTGTTGAAGATCAAACATAGCTACGTAATGTTACAGTTTTACTTGTACGTGTAAATGAATATCGAGGATGGCAGCTGAAAACAACGCAATTGGACATTTTAGTCTTCCTGTATTTAGGCATTTAGCTACATTTTAGTAGTGGCGTTGCCAGGATTTTGCGAGTGGGTTGCACGAAATTTTTATCACGTCAGTTGCTAGCGAAATGGCCCTAAAAATTGCTTCTTCAATGGAAATTTTTGAAATATTTGTAACAACATGAACAGTTTCAATTTTAACTTCCCAGTTAAGCCTTGGAAGATTTGTACATTCTTCAAGTTATAACGTTACGTAGATTGATTATTGATTTTAATGAAATGTTTTCATATTATAATACTCCCAGAATTGCACTATTTTCATGAGCCTTACTCTTAGTCATTGCTATATTTGTATTTTTGTGTCTACAAGTTTGATTCTACGAGTATACTTATCCACGATCTTATACAAGTTCTATGATATGGTGTAATGTGGCTCATGACAAGCATCACAATATTACTTGTTCTTCCTTGCCTACTAGAGACTTGAATTATTGTAGAATTATTTTGTTTTCTTCATTTTTGAGGAATTAAAATCTTTACCACTCAGCTAACAACCTAGAAAGGGTAAATACAACGCAAACTAGTCTACACAGCTAATAGAATGCCTCCTTTTACACTAAAGTTTTGTGAATTCGTAAGAGCTACATTAATGCCATGTGCTTCTTTTTCAATTTCGAATAACACATAAAAAGACTCTTATCTGAAATTCAAATGGGGGGGCACTTGGGGGGCACAGCCAATTTTTAGCCCCCATTTAGCGACGCCACTGCATGTTGGAATGAAAATGGAGGTACTGAGTTATATTATCACTTAGGAAGGTGTTTAATTAACAATTTTTCTAACTGACATACAACGTTTTTGCAGGCAGTCTACTTGAATACAATGACTACTCAGTCAGCAGTACAATTGAAATATATATGAAGCAGAGTGTTTTGTAATTTAGCCTTTGTATTTAAAAAATTCCTATTTGTTATAAAAGATCTAGTTGCCTTCTGGAATTAATTGTAAAGACCACCGTGAGAAATTTTTCAAATATTCTTCCTTTTCAATAAAAAAATCATATAAAATATAGGACATACTTGTAAATTATGTTTTATAGAAAAAAAAACAAAAAATTCATTCTAGTTGTGTAGAATGAATATTGAGACAGTGTCCAGGCGAACATTAAAAAAAATTAATTACACACTGTAAATATTGTTGTAAATTCTGTTATTACCATTTTATAATATTCTGTATGTAATCGACATGCAAATTTCATGTAAATGCCATTAAATGTACAATTTACTTATTGTATTTCTTTGCATGCATTTAAAGTTTCTTAAACATGCCTAACACATGAAATGTTTTGGAAAATCTAGAAAATGACAAAAAAGCTCAAAAAATTTGTCTTCCATTTTGTTAAGTCATGCTCATAAACCACAAAAACATGTTAAGTAAATAGTATGTGTGTAGTTTCGTTTACCAATGTATCCGTTCCCACAAGGCTAACAGCCAAGGAACATTTATTGAAGTTAGTTAAATTTCCTTATCTACCATATATAGCTTAAATAGAGGAACTAGTCCGACCAATAATAATATTTGTTATTTGTAATAAAGAGTATAAATACTGCTCTGTAAAATAATAAAAATCAGTTCGATCATTAAGTTCACTCGTGGTTGGTACTGAAGGTATAGAGTATATTGCAAAAAGAGATAAGGCGAGTAACTCGAACTCAACAGATTATGGGCCCAGGAGAGGTTTGCTTTTCGATGGAAGCGAAAGCAAATGCGAGTTATGGGAAGTAAAATTCTTAGGCTATATGCGTCTTCAAAAACTTCACGACGTATTTATCGAATAAACAAGTGAGAGAGAAGAACCAGCAGCTTCAAAACTGGCTGACGCATTTGCAGAGTTGGTCCAATGTCTGGTCGACAGAAGTTTGTTACTTGTGATGCGGGAGGCGAAAGACAATGGATGGAGAGCTTTAGAAATCCTCAGATATCACTATTAAGGCGGAGGAGAACATTGCATCATCGCTCTTTACACGGAAGTCACTTAATTCGCTGAAGAAAAGTGACGACGAGACTGTCACAGATTATATATTGCGAGCGGAACGATCGGCAACAGCCTAAAGAGAAGCCGAGGAGATAATAAGGAATGCACTACTAATTGCAATGGTTTTAAAGGGTCTGCCAAACACGTACGACATCTTTGCTACCGTAACAGTTCAAAGGGAAAGACAAATGACATTTACGGAATTTAAGAACTCGTTAGGAAGTCATGAAGAAAATTTTAAATCATTGTCACCAAAAACTGAGGTAGGTGACAACGTTAAGTATGTGAAACCAAAATTTGATAGTAATTGTTTCAAATGTGGAAGAAAGAGAAACAAAAGCTCGCAATGCCAAGTGAAGGGAAACAAATGGGGTCCATATGCAAGAACAATACCCGCGACACGAAAGATTGCCGAAAGACAAAAGAAACATCCAAGTCAGCTAAAGACGAGCAGCGCTGTGACAGTGAACGGCAACACTCCTTTTTATTCGTGTCAAAGGATGAAGAAGAGAACGCTGAAGCCGACGTGAATGATAAGAATCAAGCGAATTTAACTCTACTGGTGGACACAGGAGCTACAAGCCACATTATTAACGATTAGTCAAAATTTATAGATTTTGATAGTAAATTTGATAGTAAAGCACATGTTATTGAATTAGCAGATGGCAGTAAAGCCAACGTAGTAGTCGGTAAAGGTACTGCTAAAGCCAAATTAGTTGACTTGCATGGAAATACGCAGGATGTCTTATTAAGTAATGCCTTATATGTTCCATCTTACGATCAAAATATATTCTCAGTAAATGCTGCTGTAGAAAAGGGGGCAAAAGTCAAATTAGATAAACATGATAAGCATGTACAGTGCCCTGATGGCACAACGTTTGGAATAAGACAAAAAGGCAAACTTTACTATATAAATAGCATATCGTCAAATAAAAATGCATGTTCTCTTTACGAGCGGAACAAGGTTCTAGGTCACTGCAACTACAAGCATGCTAGGAAACTATAGAAGGTTGTTAAGGCGATGAAAATCACAGACTTGAGGGAAGTTGAGTGTGAGGTTTGTACGCAAGGTAAAAAGTGTCAGGTGAAAAGTAAGCTGGAAGATAAAAAGGCGAGGGGTCCTCTTGAGTTTATTCACACAGATCTTGCAGGTCCTATTGCTCCGGAAGGAATAGAAAGGTTAAGATATGCATTGTCGTTTGTGGATGATTATTCAGGCTGGAATATGGCTTATTTTCTAAAGGATAAAAGCGACACACCACAAGCATTAAAACAGTTTTTAGCATGATTGTTTCATGATGGAGCATGACGAGCGTGTGTTGTTGCATTTTGATGATGCATTGGAAAATGTGTCCAAAGAGATTGTGCATCAATGAGCATCAATGAGCAGATGAGCAATACTCATTGATGCTCATAATTACTTATAAGCACTTGCTCAAATGTTCATAACTGCTTCAACACACTTGCTCATTTGCCCACAAGTGCACATTGCTACATAAAATGTCTCATTTCTAAAAAGGCAGTCCCGGCGGAATGAGCTGCAGATATTGTGGAAAAGTATTTAATCGAGCTTTCAATTTACGTAGACACAAAAAAGAATACTGTCCACTAAGGCATGAGGGGAAAATGTCTCAATCAGATTTAGACAGTCAGGGAATGCATTTCGAAGATAATGTTTCTACAAGTTCAACAGATAAATCTGAAAGTTCAATGTCAATAGAAAATGAGGCTGAACTGGAGAGAAAACTGATCCTTGGATACCTTTGATAGAAGAAGCAAGGGAAAGAAGTAATGTAGATTTCGATGAGATGAAGGAAAGCCTTGTGAACAGTGGTCTGGATGAGCAGACAGCTGAAAATCAAGCACATTCTAACATTCTACCAAAATTTCAAAATGAATTGGAAAGTATTTATATGCAACGTCTTATGTGGATAAACTAACTGAAAAAAGATCCCATCCACAGAAAAATAATGCATACAAAGAAAAGGTTTATAGAAAATGACGACTTTGATCCACATGAAGCTATGGAAGCAGCTATTGATAAGAGAAAGTTTCTCATCAACAGACTTTTAAAAGAGTACAACTTTAGTCAGATTGCCAATGATGAAGAAGATTAACTTTGATAGATAAATTCGTTTCATAATAACTTGTATCATATTTTGAAGTGACGTTGTTCAATAAAATCTTTTGATTTTCAGTTTAGTGTGAAAATTACTTTAATATTCCATAGCTGTAAAAATCCTCTGCTATTGTTTCTATTTCTATCTGCTTAATGGAAACATGCCAAGAAAGCCTCTTAGAGCTATACATACTGCGCGAAGCTCGATGTTTTTGAAATGTTTTGCCCCTTCATAAGATGAGAAGGGAAATTCCCTAAAGTGATGATGCATGAAATAGCTCGAATAATATTACGCTTACGGCACACTTCTACCTATATACGCGACTTTCACCATAAACCGGTTATTGTAAGCCTGAAGCAACTAAAATTGTTGTGCCACATCGCATCTTGAATGCATAAGTTAATAAATTTAAACCACTTTAGGCAGATAGGCTTGTGGTATCAATTACTGCAATATCAATATCAAACGCGCATTGCACTTTTATCAGTTGATTGCCCTAACTTCTTCGTTTAAATTCTACTAATACAATCTCTAGCAACCAGTAAAACAAACGCATACTAAAATAAAAATAATGTTTGTAAATCTAAGAAGGACAGAGTTAAAAGAGTAATTATAATCTCAATAATAAGCAAGTCACCCTTTTAACTCGGTTAAAAAAGTATCTTGATCTTGAGTTTTGAGGCGGTGCTTCGTATAAATATAATATTGGATACGTTATTTTGAATGCTTTTAGATGACATGTACCTATACTACATAACTTGATCCAGGCGAGTAGTAAAGATGTATCAATAAATATTTCTTTTTTATAATGCTGAATAAAACGAGAGAGAAACTTTATCTTCATCGCTTACATATATGTATACAGAAGTGCTAACATGTAAGCAGTAAATTCATACATGTTTCTTATATTTCTTTTAGAACAATGTGTAATGGTTTGACTTTACGAACTGTAATAAATAAAAATATATATATTTACAAAAGCTTAACGACTCGTGTTTCAAGTTCGTTCTTTTTATCCGAAACAAATATTTTACGCCAATCGTTACAAGTGTATTTTGGTATCTCAAATCCATTAACGGGTGGCTTGACATCTTCATTGCTTTTCATAAAATCTTTGATCACAATCTCTTCGGACACATTTTGCAAGGCATCATCAAAATGCAACAACATACGCTCGTCATGCTCCATCATCAAACAATCATGCTCACGGTGTTGGGAGATGATTAATCTGCATCCATTGCAGTTCTTATTACTTCAGCGTTATTCAGCATAGCAGTCTAAAAGTTTATTTTTTAACAAACTTTGACGTACAGTTATTTCATTCTTTTCTGACTCCAAATGCAATTTGTTCATTCTTAATGCCTGATCAATGTCTATATTCAATTCCATT